GGTGTTGCAGAAAGAAGGATTAGAACACTGAAAGAAGCCGCAAGGACCATGATTGCTGAATCAGGACTGCCCATCAGATACTGGGCTGAAGCAATCAACACTGCATGCTACACTCAGAATAGAAGCATGATCCACAAGAACCATCAGAAGACACCCTATGAGCTGTGGAAAGGAAGAAAGCCAAACATCAGCTACTTCCATGTGTTTGGATGCAAGTGCTATATTCTAAACAATGGAAAGGAGAATCTGAAAGTATTTCAAGAAAAAGCTGATGAAGGTGTATTCTTAGGCTATTCAAGCTCAAGCAAAGCCTATAGAGTACTCAACAGGAGAACTATACAAGTTGAAGAATCCATTCATGTCAAGTTTGATGACAGCACCTCTGCTGAAGAAATATCAGAAACCCCGCAGAAAATCAATCTTGATGACAAAAGTTCAGAACCATCCGAAGAGGTCACCATCAATCCTGTTTTATCAATCCCTCCTGCTAATCCAATTCTGATAGACAAAGATGAAGATGAAGAATCAGAAGATGAACCATCAGAGTTGCCTAGACAGCAACTATCAGAACCTGATCTAACTTGGTTAAGAGACCATCCTCCTAATCAAGTGATTGGTCAAGTTACCAGTGGAGTAAGGACCAGATCTGCATCAAGAAGAGAAGCCATGTTCACCTGCTGTATTTCCCAGATGGAACCAATGTGTGTGGAAGAAGCTCTAGAAGATTCAGACTGGATCAATGCAATGCAAGAAGAGCTGACACAGTTTGAAAGGAATGAAGTATGGAAACTTGTTCCTCGACCAAAGCATCAGAATGTCATTGGAACCAAGTGGGTATTCAAGAACAAAGCAGATGAAGAAGGCAACATTGTAAGGAATAAAGCAAGGCTTGTAACAAAGGGATACTGTCAAGAAGAAGGCATAGATTTTGATGAGACCTTTGCACCTGTTGCAAGACTAGAAGCAATCAGGATATTTCTAGCCTATGCTGCCTACAAGGACATCAAAGTCTACCAGATGGATGTCAAGAGTGCATTTCTGAATGGAGAACTTGAAGAGGAAGTTTATGTTGAACAACCTCCAGGTTTTGTCATTCCTACTCAATCTTCTTGTGTCTATAAGCTGAGAAAGGCCCTTTATGGTCTTAAGCAAGCTCCCAGAGCTTGGTATGACACATTGTCCCTATTCTTAGTGAACCATGGGTTTACTAAAGGAAAGGTTGACAAGACTCTATTTCAAATTTCTGTTGCTAATCATATTCTATTAGTGCAAATCTATGTTGATGATATTATATTTGGAAGCACTAATCCAGAATTATGCAAGAAGTTTTCTAAAGTTATGCAGAAGAAGTTTGAAATGAGTATGATGGGAGAACTCAGTTACTTTCTTGGATTACAAGTCAAACAAGTACCAGAAGGCATCTTTATCAACCAAGGAAAGTACACCAGAGATCTCATCAAGAAGTTTGGAATTGATGGAAAAACTTCAGTCAAAATTCCTATGAATGCATCTAAAGGAATTGGACCAGATGATGAAGGAAAGGATGTTGATGCAACAACTTATAGAGGAATCATTGGATCTCTCCTCTATCTGACCGCAAGCAGACCAGACATAGCTTTTGCTGTAGGAATCTGTGCCAGATACCAATCAAAGCCCAAGGAAAGCCATTTGGTTGCTGCTAAGAAGATCATCAGATATATCAAGGGAAATCCAAATGCAGGCCTATGGTATCCCAAGGGAGGTAATTTTGAACTAATTGGTTATTCTGATTCAGATTTTGCAGGTTGTAGATTGGACAGGAAGAGCACTTCCGGTCATTGCCAAATGCTAGGTGGGAGACTTGTCTCCTGGTTTAGCAAGAAGCAGAATTCAATCTCAACTAGCACTGCTGAAGCTGAGTACATTGCTGCTGGAAGCTGCTGTGCTCAATTACTTTGGATGAAGCAACAACTCAAGGATTATGGGGTGCAAGCAAAGGAAATCAAGCTGCTATGTGACAATACAAGTGCTATTGCCATCACTCAGAATCCTGTGCTGCATTCAAGGACAAAGCATATTGAGATCAGACATCACTTCATCAGAGATCATGTGGAGAAGAAGCACATCTCAATTGAGCATGTTCCAACTGAAGATCAGCTTGCGGATATCCTAACCAAACCTCTTTCAGAGGCTAGGTTTAATAAGTTGAGAGAAGAATTGGGAATGATGGATGATCTTCCCAGAGATTCATGAATCAGAGTTACAGAAGTATCAGATGTGGACTCATCAGAACACCCCATCTCTGATACCTGAGCTTTTATCCGTCAGAAGTTTGAATCAGAGTTACAGAAGCATCAGATGCGGATCCATCAGAATTCACCACCTCTGATACGCTTATCCATCAGAGAACCCTATGTCAGAACACCCCTTCTCTGATATATGGAATATTATTCATCAGAGTGGCTGTGGACTTAGAAAATTCTCTAAATTTCGGGCGAGACTGTTCAATAAACCGGAAGTTACCTTTTTACCCCCGGTAGTTATTACCATATTTGGAAAACGGCTTTCCGCCCACAATCCATTTAATGCGACCTCGAAACCGCAAATTATATCAAACGTCCACTAACCCAAATTCATATATACTCCTTCTGAAAACCTAAATCGCTACTGCAATTTTATTCTTCGTCCTCAAGCTCTATCTCTCTAAAACTTCCAACCTTCAGACCTTCTCAAATCTCTCAAAGAACCTGAAAATGAAGTTCATCAACATAACCGACCTCTCCGAATCGGAAGCCAAGGCGCTTGTGGCTAACATTGCCACAGGGATGAAGGTTGACATGTCCTCCTTGCCGTTGCTGGCAGAAAACAAGAAAATCATGAAAGAAGTCATTGCTGGGATGATTGACTCACAGCTAAACAAGATTGTAGCTCATCCTTATGAGCACTTCAGCAACTTGGATGTGGCTGAGTTTTATCTCAACGCCTACATTGCTGACAACACCATCCACTCTCAAGTCCAGGGGAAGGACTTGAAGATTGATGCTGAATCACTCAATGGGTTCTTCGGGATCGAACTCGACTCTCAAGACATTGACACCCCGACACTCATCGACTTGGAGTTAGTCGAAGTCTCTGTGGAGACATTTGTGGATACCTACTGCCGGGATGATGCAACCGGAGTAGACAAACTGTACATGAAGAAGAATGTCCTGAAGAAGGACTTTGAAAGGCTTATGAGCATCATGCACAGATGCCTATGGTGCAAAACTGGGTCAACTGACCAGATGAACAATGCCAACTCCAAGGCCATCTTTGCAGTTCACAGGGGCATGAACATCAACTGGGGAAAGGTACTCTTCCAGTCTATCTCTGAGTCCATTGCTAAGAAGGACAAAAAGACAGGGATGTTCTTCACCAAGATGGGCCATGGACTTCTGATATCTAGGCTCATATCCAATGTCAACATAGCGCTCAGAGAAGCCCATGAAGTCAACCACAACAAGACCATCTTCCTCACTGCTTCACCCAAACTTCATGTTGCTGTTGCTGCAGAGCTGAAGAAAACCAGCAAGTATGAGCAACTGAGGGAGAAACCAGTCACTACAGTTGAGGTTGATGATGAACAACCCAAGGCTAAGAAGAAGAAGCTTCAGAAGAAGCCTAAGACTACCACTAAGAAAAATGCATCAGAAGAGGATGCATCAGAACCGGAAACCTCTGTTGTGGCTCCCAAAGTCACTCCTGTCAAGAAAATGTTGAGACAGAAGAGGAGAAGAAGAGCTGTGATTCAGAGTGACTCTGATAGCTCACAATCTCCTATCAGAGTGCAGATGAAGAAGAAGAAGGCCAACTCACCCCCCAAGGAATCAGAACCTCAGGGGGAACCTGCACCAGAGTTGGCTACTGCACTGGTGATCTCTGATGCTCAGGGGGAACCTGAATCAGAGGTCCAACTTTTATCTGCACCAGATCTGCAAGTCACCATGTCTCCAACAGAACAGCTAACCTCTACTACTGCTCTGGACAGACAGTTTCAAAGGGTACTCTCGTGGAGGAAGTGGAGAATGGGACCTCTGCAGCAAATCCTTGCTCAAGCTGCAGCCTTTGAATATGAGGAAGAAGAAGTCCTCAAATGGGCAGGTACAGACGATGTTTCACTATGCTTTGATCTTCAATTCTTGCATTCTGTGTTGGAAAAGAAAAAGGAAAGCCTCAAGGGAAAAGAGAAGATGACTGCTCCACCATCAGAAGAGCATGTCAAGCCTCTATCAGAGAGTGAGATTCCAGTCTTTGAAGAATGGCTGGTGGAGATGAAAAGGAGGGAATCTCTGAGAAAATATCCCTACCTTCCTCACTTTCACGGTGAATCCTCAATTGCCAACAATATGCCACTGGCAATGCAGCAACTGATCAGAGAGTGGAGGAACTCTCAGACTGAGGAGACTTCTGTTGAGGTAATACCTAACTCTCCCTCTCCACCTGTTCATATTACACCAGAACCCCATACCTCATCTCCTAAATCTCCTTCACCAAAACTTTCCACTCCCTTATCAACCCCACCAGAGAACCCCCAACCTCCATCAGATTCACCTACTACCTCACCCAAGAAATCCCCCACACCCAAACCTTCCTCACCCTGTCATCAGATTACCCCCATCAGAAGCCGCTCACCCTCACCTCCTCCTCCATCACAACATCAGAGAACCCCTACCCCTCAAACCTCACCTCATCAGAGCTCCCACCATCAGAAATCCAAATCTGCCTCTCCTCAGCAGAAGCCTTCATCCAAATCTCCTTCCCCTCAGCAATCTGCAGCCTCTACTCCAAAGAAAGAACCAGTTGTGAGGATTCTCTCCTCCTCCGAGGACAATGATGGCTTCCTAACCTCATCATTGGCTAGGGATCTACAGTCTAATAAGAGGAAGACGCCTACTCCTCCTCCATCTCCTGCTCAACCACAACCTCAAATCAATGATAAACCTCAGCCAGAACCACCAAAAGCTGTCCTCATCCCCTTCCAAGAGTTTGTGGAATCAGCTGAAGACTTTGGAGATCAGATGGTGGCTGGACTGAACAAGTTGCTTGTACTGAATCAGAAGCATGATGCTCATCTTGATTTGGTACAGTACAACATTGAATCAGGACTTGACAAAATCTCAAACGCTCTCTCACAATTGTCAACTACCTTCTTGAGCTACATGAAGACCTCTACTGAGAAGGTAGACAATATAGCCTCAGAGGTAGCAAGCATCCACACTGTCCTCTACTCTCAATCTCTGACCCTCTCTGCTCAAGACAAGGCCATTCAGGAGCTGTCTGATGCTGTGGATGATCTTCAATGGTCCTCTGATAAGCATGCTGAGCAACTCACAGATGTAGAGGACATCTGCAAAACCTTGAAGGAATTTGACATCAAACTGATAAACAGTGGAAAGGACAGAGATCACAAGCTGACTCTCCTCGAAGCTACTACCAAGGATATTCAATCGGCTGTGGGCAAGCAAAAGGAACTGATAGAAGGGCTGGCCTCAGTAACCCAGACTCTTCCTGGGGCTCTGGAGACGATCAAAGACAATAATGCTACAGAGTTCTCCAAAATTGGACTCCTGCTTGGCGACCTTGTTGATGCCAAAAAGGGGGAAGAAATCAGAGAACCTGCTAGAGCCATCAGAGCTGCAGAAGGAACTAGCACCAGAGCTGTTGATCCTGCTGTATACTTTGAAAGGGCAAGACAAAAGAGGATTGCTGCTGGTACTCAGAGACCACCTCTTCCAAGATCAAAGAAAGGAAAGAAGTCAACTTTCACTCTTGCTCAATGGCTTAAAAGTGATCTAGCTAAACCTGATGCTGCTCAGTTTCAAGAAATGAAGAAGCACATGACACCTCTCCAACAGGAAAATCTTATTCTGGATAGAGATGGGACGATCATCATAAATCATGGTGGTTCCATGCAAGAAGCAGAGGATTGGTGGCACATGAAAGTGATCCCTGGCAAGGACATCTCTGAAGCCATCAGAAATTATCTTGATTGCAAGCTTGAACCTGCCTGGTCAGAGTGTCAGAACCCAAGGAACTTGGCCTCCATCAGAGCAAAGGTAAATGCTGATCTGAAAGAAATTGAAGCAAAGGAAGCTGAACTAGAAGAGGAAGATATCTAAACACTATCCTCTTGTTGCTTTAAATATCCTCTTTTATATAAAATAACCAGCTTGCCTCTATTTTGCATGGCAATTTCAAATTATTTCTTTTTTGCACTCTGATTATTTATGCTCTGATATCAATTGTGTTATTTCTTATCTTTGTTTATCTGATTGATTGTATCTTACTCTTACTATTTTCCTATGCCAAGTGCCCACCAAGATTCTAAATGAAAGTTTATTTTTAACTTATTTCTCTTCATGGTGAAAGGCACTTCTCTGGGAATAGTTTAAGGGTTTTGGCATCATCAAAAAGGGGGAAATTGTAAGGAATAAATGTAATTAGATTTTGATGATGCTAGGATGTCTAGATTAGAATTTTAAAGTACCCCCAATTAGATTTTATGTATTAGAATTTTCATTTGTAAGTATTAGTGTAGTCGACGATCAGAGTTGCTCTGTTTTGGATCAAATTAGAAGTGCATCAGAACTGCTCGACCAGACTTGCTCTATGAGAACTGCTCCATCAGAGTTCTCTTACCAGAAGTCCATCAGAGTTGCACCATGAGAGTTGCTGATAAACTTGGACATCTGATAACCGATGAGAGTTACAGATCAGAGGTACTCATCAGCGGACCTATCAGAGTCAGAGTTAGAGTTCAGTCAGAGATCAGAAAGCCATCAGAACTCAACTCATCAGTAAGCCATCAGAATCCAACACATCAGAAGAGCCTGATCAGAGCCCGACTAACACTTAGAAGATTTCAAGCAACATCCAACAGCTATGAATCCAACGGGTAAAAACATCTAACGGCTAGAAGACTGTGCATGAAAGGAAAGCATTTAATGCACATTAAATAAGCCTGATACGCTGAAGGATTGATTGCAAATGATTGACCAAGGAATCCGGGAAGATATATTATAAAAATAGAAACCTTCCAAAACGGCGGTCAAGTCAACTGTACGCGCATTTAATGCAGTTGTCTCCTCCTCCAACGGGCAGACAACCTCAGTATATAAGCTACACGCCGAAGAACAGAAAAACAGCTTTGCCAAAAAAAAAAAACTTTTGCTCCATTCACTGAACATACTTCTTGAGATTCAATCCTCATAACACTCTACAAGAAAAGTCCTACGTTGGGAAGATTCAAACTCCAAATCTTTCATCCCCAACAACGAGCAAAGTTCATCCTGTTCTTCAACACTTCAAGATCTTCATAACACATCAATTGTGACGAAGCTAGTTGGAGGAAAAACTTTGTGTTTGTCAAAGGATCTTCTGCAAAGAAGGGCGTCCAAGTAACTGCAGCAGTGAAGTGGTGATACTTCCGGGAAGCTGAGTGAAAGGACCAGTCATCAGGAAGCAGGACTGCATCCCGGGTGACAACTAGGCTTGAAGAAGGCGTGGAGAACTTCTTAAGTGCTAGGGATTAGCTTTGTAACCGATCTACTTCAAAGCTAGTGGAACAGTGGACTAGAGGAACGCGTTGTTCCTTGAACCACTATAAAAATATCCGGTGTCATTTACTTTACTGCATTTATATTTCTGCACTTAGGATATTAACTGTTAACTCTAAGACTTGGAATCTGTGTTCAGCAGATCTTGTTTTCAGAGTTATCAGAAAGGCATTTGCCTTAGTGTTTCAGAGGCTACCCGGACAGATCAGAATCCGCTGCCAAGGCCAGTTCTGATATCAGAACCAGCCTTTCTCTGTCACCAGAATCAGACATTCTCTGATAAGTCATTTTTGACTTAGAGAAAAGTTGAAAAACCAATCAGTCTATTCACCCCCCCCCCCCCCTCTAGACTGATTACTATATTAAACGGGACCAACACTAGACAACGGATGTACGAGAGGGGCTCGGGGCGCGACCACTCACATACCTTTTCGACCCGGAAGCCGGTCTTACAATTGCCCTGACCGAGCAGCTAACCCCGGACTTAGAAAGTGGTATGATCATTTCCTTGCCCGAGAGCTGAGCCGTGGTCGACTAAACACCGAGAGCGGGGCGTGGTACACATATACTCTTTTTTTTTACTTTTTTTTTCTTTTCTATATTTTTTTTCCTCTCTCTCTCTCTCTCTCTCTCTCTCTCTCTCTGAGCCGCCGCCCGTTTAATCCAAGCGAGGTCGGACCTCATTAAATTCCAGAATGGAATTTTTTTTTTAAGGCATGAAAGAATCTGAGAACTTGAGGAGTTGCTCCAGTTCTGCACTTGATCTACAATTTGTGACGATTGATTCATAGAATGTGTGAGAGCTAATCTCCAATCCATTCTTCATACACGGGCTTGCAGTTCTGCGCTCTTAGGATTAGAGAGGGTTCCCGACGCTCTTAAGATTAGGAGCAACTATCGTCATCCAGGAAGGGAATGTTTGAGACCGGTCTTGCGGTTATGATGTCGGCGCTGAGAAGCCGACCGTAACACGGGAACGTCGGCACTGAGGGGCTGGTCCCGAACCTGAACACAACGGTCGCGCGGTCACGACGTCGGCGCTAAGGAGCTGGCAGAAATACGAGAATGTCGGTGCTGAGGGGCTGATCCCGAAGATGAACACGACGGTCGCCACCCCGGAAGGGTACGGGGAGCCCGATCGTGCGGTAATGACGTCAACGCCAGGAATCAGTCTTGAGATAGATAATCAAGCGACGGCGGCACACGGTGGCGGCGACACATGATGGCGGCGGCACACGGTGGCGGCGACACATGATGGCGGCGGCACACGGCGGCGGCACACGGTGGCGGCGACACATGATGGCGGCGGCGCGCGGTGGCGGCGGCGCGTCATGGTGGCGGCACACGACGGCGGCGCGTCATGGTGGCGGCACACGACGGCGGCGCGTCATGGTGGCGGCACACGACGGCGGCGCGTCATGGTGGCGGCACACGACGGCGGCGTGTATCATGGTGGCGGCACACGACGGCAACAACAGTACTGAAAGGCTGGTGATCAGACGAAAACTTTGACAGTTCAGCCCATTGGTTGAGGTTCCTTGTTTCCATCCTATGCCCGGGGTTCAAATCCCAGCCCAAACTCTTCACTTTCTTCCTCTGCTCGACGTCTTCTACCTCAGCCTGGCGGTTTGCACGCCTTTGTGGAATGGCTTCGCGTTGCAAGGTCTGTACCCCTTTATCAATGATGCTTCCAGGACTTCGAGTAACAGCTGACCGTTGCAAGGTCTATACCCCTTTAGCAACGGTGCTTCCTTCCTTCCTTCCCGAGATGGGAGTGTTGTCGGGAGGGCCTCCTTCCTGGCTGTCGCTGCGTTGCAAGGTCTGTACCCCTTCAGCAACGGTGCTTCCATGCCTTTGAGTGACAGCTCCGCGTTGTAGGTCTGCACCCCTTTGTCCATGATGCTTCCTTCCTTCCCGGGACGCCTGTTGCCGGGAGGGCCTCCTTCCTGGTTGTCGCCACGTTGCAAGGTCTGTACCCTTTTAGTAACGGTGCTTCCAGGGCTCCGAGTATCAGCTCCGCGTTGCAAGGTTTGTGCCCCTTTAGCAACAGTGCTTCCTTCCTTCCCGGAGTGAGTGTTGCCAGGAGGGCCTCCTTCCTGGCTGCGGCCGCGTTGCAAGGTATGTACCCTTTCAGCAACGGTGCTTCCGGGACTTTGATTAACAGCTTCGCGTTGCAAGGTATGTACCCCTTTAACAACAGTGCTTCCTTCCTTCCCGGGACGAGTGTTGCCGGGAGGGCTTCCTTCCTGGCAGCCGCCGCTTTGCAAGGTTTGTATCCCTTTAGCAACAGTGCTTCCAGGACTTCGAGTAACAGCTCTGCGTTGCAAGATCTGTACCCCTTTAGCAACGGTGCTTCCTTCCTTCCCGGGACGAGTGTTGCCGGGAGGGCCTTCTTCCTGGCTTCCGCCACGTTGCAAGGTTTGTACCCCTTTAGCAACGGTGCTTCCTCATGGTACCAGTGAATGGTTCTGAGATATGGGGGTCGGCCACGTATGGCTCTCCCCCGAAAACCCTTCTCCTTAGCTCGTGTAACCTTAACCTCAGATCTTCCACCGCATCAGGGGCCAGTTCTGCTCGTGCGCGTCCAGCGCGGAGTTGAATTTGCACAGAAGACTCTGCAACTCTCTCGCGTACGTGAGGTCGAGATTTAGCATGGCGTCCGCCCAGGAAAGATTGTCCTCCTGCCCGATCGACGGGAATGATGAGACGACTCGTTCCCTCCTTCCCGGAACAAGTATTGCCGGGAAGGCCTCCTTCTTGGGTGCTTAAGTTGCCGAGACACGTACTCCCTTCAAAATCGTTTTGCGATGGTACATCTGTGCTGATACGTCTTCCAGGGAGAGCCAGCCAGCCTACCCAGTCGACAGGAGTGACGAGACGAATCGTCCCCTCCTTCCCGGGACAAGTGCTTCCGGGAGGGCCTCCTTCCCAGCTACTCAACTTGCCAGGACACGTACTCCCTTTGGGATCCATATGCTCTCAGCGTACGAGCGTGGTATATGGGCACCGAGCATGCAGGCGTCTGGGGTGATAGCTTCGAGCATGCATGACCTCACGATGGTGCTCCGCAACCCCGACCAGTTGTCACACGTAATCAACCTGCAATTCAGAAAATTCTAATAGGAATTTCATATTTAGTTTTTTTTTTTAAATGTTTGATGATTTTTCTTTGCTTGGTGGTGAGCTAGCTAATTTTGGATTTGGAACATCACTTTTTGACTAGGTCAAAATTAGAGTATTGCTTTGGTCAAGGAATTCCGGCATTTGGTGGGATTTTGACCAGGTCAAAATAAAGGCGTGCTAGGAGAAGAGAAGTCCAACTGCTCATGTCCGGGCTGAGGCCTCGCTGGAACGAAGACAGTCAGGCGCCTTTGGTTCTGGCCGGTGATGGTTGGTGAGAGCGGCTACTCGGCGGTAGACATAGATTCCGGTTTGCAGGATACCATCACATCAACGACCGAGAAGACGGCCCTGGCATCAGACTTTCCCTTAACTTCAAGCCTCCATTAATGGCGTCGCACCCTCGTCTGTGAAATCGAACTGAGAGGCTTGTTGTCTCGACCCGTCGCATTTCACACTCGCACCTGCTGATATGTCTCGTCGACCAACAGAGAAGAGACCGAGGTGGAGACTGGCGAGATCTGGGGCGATGGCGCATGGAGGGTTCCAGCGGCACTCCGGCGTTGGCAGCGATGCGCCCAACTACCGTCGAGGAAGATGAGCGAGAGCAGAATCACGCTTGGCTGCGCTCCAGGCGACGACCTGAGAAACGAGCCGCAAACGAAAGGTCGCGCGAAGGAGTTGGCGAAGAGTTGCAGCGAGTTCCAGCGACGGTGGCCCTCGAGCGCTGTGGTGAGATTCTGGACAGTGACAGCCTGGATAGTGACGACACCCGGCCTGGACTTGAAGGGATCAACGGCAAACGGCGTCTGAA